AAAAAAAAGAAGTAGTTTATCGCATAAGAATCTCATATTCAATTAGGAAATACGCAACTAAAACTGTATAATTTATAAAATAAAACAACGCAAATTCAATACTCCATTGACAATAACAACAACAATAAAATTTGTTCGTTTGTTTCGGTGAAAAAATAAGATTAAATTAAAATAATGAGAAAAGGAAAACAATCACAATTAAAGTGATCAGTCGAACATATATAATGCGTCGTTGTAAATTAATCAACAATCGTTTGAATGAATGAATTAAACCAAAACCTTTCAAAGAGCTCTCCCAATCAGAAAACAATTCTAATTAAATGTAAGTTGATACCACCACCACCACCATCAACAAAGAAATACAATCACAACAAATCAGACAATATAGATAGATATCTGAAGGAACTGTTCAGCTCAAATGATAATACCGAAAAAAATCCAAAATCAATACCAAATGAAGGAAAGAATTTAACAAATCTATCCTATCCACATATAAACAGATAGGAACCCAACCGAATGGATACTCAAATACTGTACGGGAATAGCGAATGTGGGACAATTGTTAATAATAAATTCCTTCCACTATACGGGAGAGAAACTTCCCCTTCAAAATACCTTTCAAACCATGAACAATAAATTATAATATAATGTTAATAATGAAACTAATTTAGCAATAACCTTAACAACAATAACACAATTGTGACAATAAATCGCTCACTTAACCATCAACACACTGTTCTGCCAGAATATTAATTGCCAGAATATTAATAAATATCACTAAAGAACACACAAAACAATAAATAAATAAATAAACTAATGAGAATAAATATCACTGAAGGAACCATCAACTGAACAACAATTGATTCATTAAAATTTCCTCACCATCTGATTATTTCTTAATGGACATTTGAAAACGTAGTGCGCTTATTGGACTGCTACCTTAATTTCCTTCGCGGAGTGCGCACTCAAATTCGTTGACTGATAATAACATTGATAATAACAACAATAACAATAATAATGATACAACAAAACAACGTTGCTAAGACAACTTTTTGCAATTGTTCGCTTACTCAACAATACATCAAATAACAATGAACATCTGATAAAGGAGTAACTGAAGAAGTTTCAATGAAGAGGATACCAAAAAACCACAACAATACCGACAATAAATGAATAGATAAATCACAGAATCGCAATGAAACGAAAGGAGCAGAACATTAAAAAAAGAATCAATGAAGAGAAAGGAGAAAAACTCATTTTTCAAATGTCCACAAAAAGATAATCCAAAATTAAAAAATATCACCACATCAAGATGCATATTCTCACAACAACAACAATGAATGAATGAATGACAACAATCAAGAAAAAATTGTAGAGGAAAACACTATGATACGAAATGAAGCCATTTTCGTCAACCAACTCATTCATTCCCATCAGAAATTATTCCCGCAAACCAGAAATATTTCCACATTTCTAAAATCGCTCTCTCATAATCGCTCATCTCTTACAAATTCCAAAAGCGAAAATCCTCAAAATTTGAACCAAAACCCAATAAACCGAAAAACAAAATCACACAATGAGCATTCAGCTCATTCGCATCAGTCACTTTCAATCGCTTCAAATCCATCAAACGATACATAATATCACAAATCGTAGTGAACAACCACTGAATGTAGAAATAATCCATATACATATACATGCACATATATTCATTCGTATATTCACCATATGTCCGTTTCTTTCTCAACTGAACCATTTTTCAACCAATTTCATTGAAGTTAAGT